GGAACTTGGTTGCGATCTCTGCCGCAGTCTCAGTCGTATAGTGAAGGTCCTGAAACTCCCTCGCGAACTAATGCACCTCAATAGCTGGTGAAAACTCTGTCCTAAACCGGGTCACAACTTATCCCAAGTCATCATCTCCAGGGATTCGCCTCTCAAAGCGAAGTCTACCTCCTCCCACCAATCTCGAGCTCTATCTTTCAGAAGACAGGAAGCAAATCTGACATTCGACCGCTCGAGGCAGAAACTCATCCGGAAAGCATTCACCTACTAGCAATGGGTTCCTTCTCCTCAAAGAACTCGGGAGTCCCACAAGCATGAAACTCATGAAGGAAAGAGTGCCAGCTCCCACAATAGCCATAATCTCAGTGCAGAACGCGCCCAGACGCTCATACGAAATCTCCACAATCCCCTCCTTGACCTTTCTGAAGATCACATGAGTCTGCTCCAAAATACCGCGAGTGATCTCCGACGAGATAAATACAGTCACATGCAACAAAGCCTAGATAATCCTTCTAGTAAAAGATTCATCCCTACAATGGTTAGACTCAAACAAAAGTTGTGTAATAGAGTCAAATTCATCACTCTGGGATTATTTGGCCTTATTAACATATGACTTAAAATATTCACTTAATAGTTAACTCACTTCACTAAGAGTTCCACAAAGCACAAAGCAAGCAGCATTCGAGCAATAACACCTCAAACCACAAGCCAATCAGAGGACATCTCAAGCTCACTTACTACCAGTAAATATTTCGAATCTAAAACATCATTCAATTCCTATTAGGCTAAAAGGCATCACATATCAGGCCAATCCATACAATCATCTGAAATCCATACTAGCATGCAACTCAAAAGCTCAACCAATCAGGCATATAAAGGCATCTCTCCTAACATAAAATCCTGAGCAAATCCCTAGCCCTAATCTAGCATGCAATTCTCATATCATATAACATAAAAAACATCAAACATAAAACATGTATGGGTATTTTGGGAAATACTTACTTGAGCTCGGCTGATTGTACGTATTGTACCCCTTTTTCTTAGAAAACCATTTTAGAAAATCATTTTCTTTTAAAAGATTTTAGAAATCCTCAATTTGAGTTCAGACACACCCATGAGTATGTCTGAATCCCTCAAACCAAGGCTCTGATACCAACTTGTAACGTCCCAAAAATTATAAGGTAAAAATTTCATTTTTTTCAACCTTAAACACCATTTATCTTTTTAAACCATTCACAAACATATCAGAGTAATAATAGTTATCAGAGTACAATCCCAAAATCACAAAGTGCGGAAACATGGGTGGATGCGATGCGATCAAGCCGAGCCCTTCCCTTTTAAGTTGGAAGTACCTGAACATAAACAGAAAACTGTAAGCACAAAGCTTAGTGGGCTCCCCAAAATACCCCATACCATACATGCATAACAGTCAAAACATAACTAGGTCTATTTCGCCCCCTTCGGTATCTTTCAACCGATACTGGGTCTATTTTACCCCCTTCGGTATCTTTCAACTGGTATTGGGTCTATGTTACCCCCTTCCATATCTTTCAACCGATACTGGTCTATTTCACCCCGTTCGGTCTCTTTCAATCGGTATCAGGTCTATTTCACCCCTACCACTAGCATATAATCATAACAGTAAGAGTCATAGATACAACAAGCACATACAAGCATAACAGGAAATTGTCACTAAGACAACTATCAACCTCTAAACATAATTCGGTGGGTCAGCATTGGTGCCTTCGACCCACGAGTATAGTGAAGGAAACTCACCTGAATCACAAAGCTGATCTCAGCTAACCGCTCTCCTGCCAAAAGACGGGTGCTCGACACCTCCTATCAATCCATACAAGGCAAATTCTATGTGTACCTTCTAAAAAAGAATTTTGACCAAAAGTCAAAGCAAGCCAAAAGTGAACAGTCAAAGTCAAAGTCAACAACCCAAATATCAACTATTCATTCTCACGTCGTGACCAACCCTTGGTCACGTCGTGAGAGCTCACTCGATCTGATTCCAACTCATCACGACTCAACCTAGCCAACTTAGTCAAGGAATGACACCTGAGTTGATATCACGACGTGGGCAGCCTTCCTTACGTCGTGAGCCCTAAGAAGCTTATCAGAAAAGGGGTCGTTCAACCCTCACGTCATGAGCTCCATGTCTCACATCGTGAGATCATTCTGAAGCCAAAAGTTCAACTTTTAAGTCCTTAATCCATTAAGCCTTGAACTCTAACTTTTCATAAGGTCTTATAACTCCATAATGCATTGGAAAGTCGATGCTTTTAAGACATATATGTCCAATACATGTCTAGATCTCATTTGGGTCAAAAGTTGAAGAAAATACATCAAACTTTCATGCAAGGTTCCAAAACTCAATCATTCCCTAGATTTGAACTCCATATTACTCTTAAGACCCAAATAACATATAAAGTTGCCAACTTTATGGTTTCCATTCATCAAACTTGCACAATCAAGAGGAAGAGTGGGACAAAACATAGATCTAGCCTCATAGAACAATAAATGAGGAATCTTTGATACTTACAATGATCCAAAAAACAATGTAAGATGATGATGATGAAGATTCCTTGCAGGCCTCAACTCAAGATCACTCTCTTCTTCTTCTTTTCTCCTTCTTCCAAACCAAGAACAACTCCAAAATGACCAAAGATCAAGCAATGATGAAGACTAGGGTATTCTGAGGTGAAAGAGGGTTTGGGGCTAATAAGAAACCCTAAAATGAGTTTAGAGATGCTTAAATATGAAGCAAACCCTAAAATGATAATGGGCTTGGGCTGCATCAGCTCTCTCGTCGTGAGCTCCATGTCTCACGTCGTGAGACCAGTCCTGAACAAAAGTTTTCATGCAACCCATCTCACGTCGTGAGCCTCCAATCTCACGTCGTGAGGCTTCTTTTCTTCCAAAATCTGACATTTTGACTCCTCGAAACCCTAATTCGATTCATCCTGTAAAATGGGTGTTACAACTCTCTAGCCATATCTATATAATGATGAGTGTATGTATTACAATCTTCACTAGACAGTCTCACTCTTAAAGGTATTTATAAGATGGTTTTATACATGTATAAAGCTCATATATTTTATTCTTTTTCTTACATGGTATCTTATTTAAAAAATAATTTGATGGCACAGTCCCCCATATGGACCGGGGTAGTCTAAAATTAATTAACATGTTATTCATCAACTCTTTCAAGGCGTAATTTTATGACATTTTATTTTGGCAAATAATGTGAAATAAACTCATGTATTACACCATGATTTACACAAAGTTCTTTAATACCTACATCCATGATCATCTATGAGTACTTTAATCTTTTTTTGAGTTGATTTCAACTTTTCTTTTTATATGTTATAGATTTTTTTATTGATTCATCTGCTTTAATTTTTAAGTAAAATGACATAAAAAAGTTTGATGTTATCATCAATAAAATTTACGAAGTATTTATTTCAACCTCTTGATGGAATCGACTTCATATCATACACATTCATATGAATTAAACTACGGGGACGGTTTGATAGTCCTTTTAATGGTTTGAATGATTTTCATGTTAATTTCTATGCAACACATGTAGTTTGTTTGTTTTGTAAATTCGATGTGGAAATATGTAGGCATGAACATAGGTAGGTACCCACCTCATTAGGCGAGAACCGGAACCGAAACCGGCGATTCCTAGTAAGTTAGAACCGAAACCGGAACTGGAATAGGGCTACGCAGTTCTTAAATTTTTGGAACTAGTCCCGAAACTGGCGGTTCCGGTTCTAGGAGCGGGTAACCCGGTTACATCAGTTTTATTAATTTTTGTCAATAAAACCGTAATTTAGTTCGGTCCAAAACGAATCAATTCGGAACAAAGATGGACAAAATCGGACCAATATATTTTAAACTGGTCTAAATAGCACACACATATTCATACTAAATACTTATATATATATATATATATATATATATATATATATATATATATATATATATAAACTGGTTCTGGCGGGTAGCTGTTCCAAAAAAAAATGAGAACCAGAACCGGAACCGCTTAAGGCGGTTCCATAACTTTAGGAACCAACAGTTCTGAGATGATTTCGGTTAAAAAAACGGTACCCAGTTTCGATGCTAATCTCTAGAAATATATATGTGTTCAAGTTTGATTAACTAGTGAAAAATATAAAATGTAACATATCCACGTCTAGCATTTCATATATTTGAATACTCAAGCAATTAAATTGACAAATTATTCATTTGATTCATATTGTGCGTAGTAGTCGTTACGATGAACTTAAACAACTCGCTTTATGCATACCTTTTCCCAACAAACATATAATATATTTTAGTAAGTTAAAACTTATCAAACCCAAACCCAAACAGAAATGACAATCATATTTGTTCAACAACCAGCATGACGCTAAATTCTTATAAATTTCTAGCACATACAACTGTTCAACATGAGTTCTTTTCCCAATTTCATCTTCAAAAACTATAAACTTGTGTCCCTTGATTTTTAAAATGACTAAATTTTCATGGAATAGTTTGTCACCTATGTTAACAACTTGGAAGTTACTAAACCATTCATTGTTGAAAACTACATGATGGCTAGCACCCATGTCGACCTATTATTCCATCAGGTTTGACTACCATCACAAGAATGATATCAAACACATCTCGAATGTTGTTCCTCATAACATTAGTATCCTTAACTTTATAGCAGAGAAAATAAGGAACAAGAAGGAAATATTTTTCTTTCTTATTTGCTCTGAAACGGTTCAATGCTTACAATGACAATAAAGGAAATATATATAGACAAACTTCTTACAAAAGAAAAAGCAATTCATTGGATAGTACAAGATGATACAGGAAGGTACAACAGGTTAAAGCTCTTTCACTGTAGCAGTAGATGAAATGCAGATATGGGTGGGACCTAGCTGTCTTGGACTGTATCATTTTCTTCTTTGTTAACACACGGTAGCATATCAATTCCATTCATTTTAACATGCCCACTCAAAATGGTGAATGTCTTCAGTTTGTTGCAAAGATGGGATGTATCTAACTTCAATTTCTTTGCGTGCAACCTTGTCTCGAATGTAATGAACATCAATTTTGATATGCTTAGTTTTTGAGTGGAAGACAATATTAGCAGTAAGTTGTCTTGCTCCTGAATTGTCGCACCAAACAATAGTCGGTTCCTTGCTATGAAATCCTACTTCAGTAAGAAGCGACCTTAGCCAAATTACTTGAGTGCCGACTTCTGATAGAGCTCTGTACTCGGCTTCTGTTGTAGACCTTGCCACTGATTTTTTCTTTTTAGAACTCCAATTGATTAGGTTACCTCCAAGATAAACACAATAGACAGTTGTTGATTTCATATCATCCAAGGATCTTGCCCAGTCTGAATCAGAGTAGCACTCAACTTGTAGTTTTGAGACCGGTTTGAATTTGATGCCTTCACCAATTGACCCTACTAGGTACCTTAGTATTCTCTTGCATGCCAACCAATGATTTTGAGTCAGAGATTGAAGGAATTGACTAAGTTTGTTTACTGGAAAGGTGATGTCTGGTATGCTTAGTGTGAGGTACTATAATGCTCCAATTACACTGCGATATAACGTGATATTTTCAAAAGGTTTGTTGTCATGAAGATGGAGTTTGTTGCTTGGATTCATTGGAGTGGGACACGAATTGGAATTGAGCATGTTGGTTCTTTTGAGCACATTGATTGTGTACTTGGCTTGAGACAAGTGAATTCCGTCTTGCCCCTAGTTGTCTCAAAGCCAAGGAAGTATGTGACCGAGCCAAGCTTTTTGAGAGAAAATTATTGATCAAGCTTGTAAATAATACCACAAAATTCAGTGGTTTTACTTCTTGTTTTTAAAAATGTCATCCACGTACACGAGCGCAAAAAGTAAAGAACCTCCATGATTATAATAAAACAGAGATGTATCAGAGACGGAGTTGCGAAAACCGAGAGTGAAAATAGAGGTGCGTAATCTGTCAAACCAAGCGCGTGGATCTTGTTTGAGGCCATACAAGGCACGTTTGAGTCTACAAACAGCTTGTGGTTTGTTCAGGTCAATGACGCCATCAGGTTGTTCCATAAAAACTTGCTCATCTAGTGTGCCATTAAGAAAGGAATTGTTGATATCTATTTGTTGGACATCCCAAGAGTATGTGACAACTAGAGTGAGAATGAGACGGATGGTTGTTGGTTTAACCACGGGACTAAAAGTCTCAAAGAAATCAATACCAGGTTGTTGTTGGAAACCTTTAGCAACAAGATGTGCCTTGTGTCGTTGAATAGACCCATCTAGGTTGTGCTTGATGCGAAAAACCCATTTGTTAGCCACTGTATGATGGGTTTTAAGCATTCTAACATTCCTATGGTGTACATGCAACCCTATAAACCTTGGATCTATGTTTTCTCTATTATACATGCAAATATTCAATATTCCAAGGTTTCATCCTAACTAGCATAATATGAAGTATATACAATACAAGAATCTAGTAGAATGACATACCTCTTTATTATAGCTTGATTCCATGGAGCTTAAGAGCCTAGTGCCCCAAGTGTGACACCTCAAATGGCTCACACAACACCACCAACAACTTGGAATAACTTGAGAGAAAAGTTCTTATGCTCAAAATCAGCTAGCCCTCTCATATGAATCCATTGGCCGATTTCTTGAGCTATGGGGTCTTTCTATAGTGTGGCTATTAGGGTTACACCATGTAACTCATGACCTTCCATATTTTTCATGCTTCATGGGTTAAAACGTCCATGGAGTATCCATGGGTTACCCCATGGGTTTAGCCCAACATGAAGAACTATGGATCATAGGCCCATATATATAATAATGAATGATTTACATAATCAATCCCCATATATTTAATTAGTCTCTTTTGATCACAAAATTAATTCCAAATTAATTCTTGATCAATACTAATTAAATAGTATGATTAATATATTAGAACTTATAATGTATTTAATAAATCATAAATGTCCTCTTCTTACAAAAGTCTATCCAAATTGTTCTGATGCCATGCAACCCAAATGGACCATGCCAAATCGGGTCAAGTACATACCAATTATAGTTATGGACTTAGACACTAATCCAACAGTCTCCCACTTGGATAAGTCTAATAACTATTATTGCAAGTATGACTCTGCAACCCGACTAGTAATCGTATCTCTTAAAAGCCGTTGTCGAACTCTGAACAAATCAATGACGCGTCCATTAGATAAGGGATCATATATTCCTCCATTCTACAAGATATCATATGGACTGAGACATGGATTATAATCATTCTCTCTGTCCATTTGTTGTTTCTCGATATCCGATTTATGACGACCGACTAATTAAACAAATCAAATCAGTCTAGGCTTGGCCAAGCACTTAGGGGTGTCATCACTAAATCATCGAGGGGCCCACAGATATCGCTTTTATCCCTCCAAGGGTAAAAGGAATGGATAAACTTTGACCCAAATGTTCGCTTGTACTTACTCATCAAATTACATACAACGATATGTTTTATAACAACCAAGTTACTGGTTGCGTTTACATATGTCAATGTGCAACTGATGCGCAACTACAACTCACACGTCTCCGTTTGAAGAATATGTAATATTATCGTCTCATGATCACTCGTGATAAAATCCATGAAGTTATTCAAATGAGCGTGGGTTTAATCCAATACCGAATCTCATTCCAAGAGCACTCATGAATGTTGCAGCAACTTTTGCTATGTCTAAACACTTTAGACATCTACAAGCCCAATTCATGACAGTCTTGATTCATACCTACTTCCAAATTATGATTGACTGTGGAGAGTTTGAATAACCTAGTTATTCGGGAAGTCAAAACATGCAAAGTAAAACACAAGAATAATACTAATCCTATATGGCCCCAAGCACCTTTGAGAGTAAATAAAACACATTTTATTTAAACACCATATTGATTACTCATTATTCATTGTATAATGTTTCGAATAATCAACTTAATAATTGAACTGAAACAATAGTCATACCATGCTCCAAGCATGCACACTATGTTTGCCCAAACAACAGTTATGCCATACTCCAAGTATGCACATTATGTTTTTCTATGATCCTTACTTTGTGAAATAGACCAATTGAACATGATTCCAATGATGCTCATTTCACAACCCAAATCCTTACCGTAAATGTAAGAATATCAAATTCTTGTCATTTACTGTAATCTGTTAGATTTTAAACTTATATGCATTTATCCTCTTGTAAAGACTATGCACAAAAGTCACAGAGACTCGACAACAGACATTACAAAGTATTCCAATGGAGAGCAATTCCATGGAAATGAAGTCTCAAATTCAAAGTACATTCCTTTGAACACCCTTCTTGCATTAAGTTTTCTAATCTTACACAGATTTAATGAATAACTTCCACCTATGGAAACATTTCCACATTCCCATTTTGACTATCACTTCTGAACAAGAGTTGCCTCCTTTCAGAATATGTCAATATGGTCCTTCCAAAAATTTACACCATACTTCCAACTATCCATGAGAAACCAATCTTTGGTAAACCTCAGATTGTCCTCGACAATTGTTTAATCATTTTAGTCATATCCAGTTCAAGTACTTTTTCCCCCTTAATGCCCTAGGCATTTGGAAAAAATTTAGAACAGATGAATATTACAGCACATGTAATCGATCCTATATTCGAAGCATATGGGACACGATTCATGATGTCTCACATAAAGACATGATACTAGACCAGTCTTTTGCTATAATATTTCTATTTCTATTTTCCATGTTCTCATAATTCAAATTATGAAAAGGGATGTCGTAATCATAATCGAATTTTAGAACGCAAATAATGTAATCATGACCAAATTTGATTAAAATCTCACAATCTAAGCTTTTAGATTTGAAATGAAGTATAATAATGTAATCATGACCAAATTTGATTAAAATCTCACAATCTAAGCTTTCAGATTTGAAATGAAGTATAATTTCCTCTCCCTTAATTATAGCAAAACAACTTTTCAAACCCTGCAAAGTACATTTTGCAAATTGAAACTTTTGTTTTCTATAATTAACATTGCTAACTTGCAACACCTGACATAATAATCATGCTCCCACTAACATGATAATTATCATCATAACACTTATGCTCCCACTAGCTTTGACATGTATCCAGAAATCAGTTGGACTTCTAGAAATCAATACCTTATTGACTTTCTTACCAAAGTTCAAATTTCTGATACGAGATGCTTTGATAAGACTTTATCAAAATCATACACCTTTTCTTAGATAGCTCACATGTGTGTCTAAACAATTTTAGAACTATGAAAAGGGATGCCGTAATCATAATCTCAATTGTTTAGGCCTTTGCCATTTCTCACAAGTCCATGTTAGTGTGCCGGTTAACCACACACGCTCCACTAACGACTTTGAGAATGCAAATATCATAATTGCTATCTACTTAAAAACTATTTAGCGAAAGTGTTTCCTCGCCATCATTTTCATGAATCGGAGAGAAACCTTATGACAGTTAGATTTTATGGTGTATGTGTTCCTATCCATGTGAATTTGTTATAACCACAAGAGGAGGTTAGTGATAAATCCAAACTCATATGGACTGAACCTGTTCAATCTTAACTTCTTGCCACCTGACAGCACAAGGGCCTACCATTGCTTCCAGGTTGTTATGAAAACAATTGAGTGCTCATAGAACTCACAAGCATATTCAACTTTAACTGGAATGGGCATAGAAATAAGAAAATTTCAACACGATAGGTTACAAACCTCAAGTCGTGGGCTAGTTATTAACAATACTCTAGATTAGTTCATGAAACTATCTCAAGATCTTTTAAGACTCCCACTGACCTCTTGCCATATAAGCTTTTCTTTGTCAAGAACCATTCCTTGAAAAAACAAATATTCAAGAGTTAGTGCGGATTCTTATCAAGTTAAACACTTCACACAATTGGTCTTAGTTGGTCTTTGTTTTATCCAAAACATCATAACTCACCAATTTCAAATGTAAAAGAGTAAGAAAACATTTTACTCTACATTCGACAAGTGTTTTAAACCTTTCTTAAGGTTATGTCACTCGAGTTACAATCTTGGAGTATTACTCTAAGACTCGTTTTTGGAACGAAGTATGATTTATCTTTTGATTTTAACCATTTCAACAATCCATGATTCCTCTTCTTAGCCAAACAAATGCACTAAGATGTCCTTAGAGAATCAATTGTGATATGGTTTCATAATCACTAAGATAATCATAAAACAAGATACTCAAGTACTCTCCCATCTTTTCAGATTAGAGAAACTTTTATCTTTTTGTCTAATTTGATTCTTCTTATTCGTTCTGCCTTACATTAAA